CCCCCCCACATGAAAGGAATTATCCCAGAGTTCCCCTGAAAAGGACAGTGCAGACAATCCTGACTTCAGCTTCTGCACACCTACACGTTTAGCCTTGGGCTGCCCTGTTCATACTCTCCCCCAAAGGCTGGGTGAGGGTGACGTGCAGGGCTCGCCAGGGGACTTCTGATTGGCTGACGGCATCCACCCACTCACGTGCGCCCCGCACTCCGGTGGGTCAGAACAGTGCCCCCGGGGGGCTGATTACAGTTACAGGCATGCCTTGTCATCCCCAAACCCCTCTTCCCTGCTGCCCACCCCTCCCTGGCATCAGAAGAATTCCAGAACCTTCCAATGTACAATATGGCAGCTTTGTGTGTTTGACACACTTTTGATGGCATAAAATTTAATTAATTAATCAATGAAAAGAGTGTGACGCATCTGTGACGGAATATTCAGCTAGAACAAGTACTAATTAACTGATTTAATTATTAACACAAGGGGCTCCTGAGAGGTGACAAGAGATAGATTCCTACTATATGCTGTGTGTTCCAAACCCGAAATACTAATACGTGGGCATGTGTGCTTTCGGAGCAGCAATGGGGCTGCCTTCTACATCCAGGGGCTTAAGAGCTCATCTCAGCCACCAGACTGCAGGCAGTGGCACAGCACAACCTCAGGGCACATGGATGATTCTAACAGGCCAACCGTCCGCAGCTATTACCCATCAGTGGGGGGGGGGGGGGCATTCTCAGTCTTTCAGGAGACACACAGGATTGGGGGCAGAATAAGGACAAGCTATTATCCACTTGACACAACTCCACACATCACCATCATAATCAAACAACTATCAAGCAGTGAGAGATGAGAGGCTGGCAGTGACAACATGCAGCGGGGAAGTCGATGGAGAAGCAGGAAGCAGCTGACGGGAGGGGTAAAGGTTAGTTAGCAAGGCAAATGGTGAAATGGGAAGGGTAAAGATTAGTAAGCAAGGCAATTAGTGGGATGGGTTAGGGTAAGGGTTAGTTACCAAGGCAATTAATGAGATGGCCAGAGTAAAGGCAAGTTAGTAAGACAATTAGTTAGATGGATAGGTTAAGGATTAGTTAACAAGGCAAATGGGTTAGAGTATGGGTTAGTTAACAAGGTACTAGTGAGATGGGTAGGGTTAGTGTTATGAATGGATGAATGCATGGAGCGAAGGGAGTGATATAGGAGCTGATGTTGACTGACGGGCGGCGGATCCTGGCTGGCAGGCCGCTGAGCTGAGACTCGGAGTCCTTCCAGCATTAACACAAACCCACATGCTTATCAGACCCTTTACTGTTACTATTATCATCCTTACTTATTTCTTTTTTGGAGGGTCACATGATCCGTCACACATACCCCCATCGTCCCTAACCTCTTATCCACAGAGGGTCGCAGTGACATTGGACAGGGTCTGTTTGCTTTTCTCTGTGAGATTTATTTAATAGATTTATGGGGTGTATATCAATCAGCCCTATAGGGAGCTGACCCTGCCAAACGGGCACATGAGGGCTAGAAACCCACAGGGGGCGGGATTAGTATGCTTGTCAGTCACAGGCTTGTCTAACCCAATGGGAACTAGGAAGATAACCAACGGGAAGCGGGTTAAATCAGCCTGTGAGTGACAGCGTGCAATAATCCCACCCGCAGGGGTGGGGGGGCAGGGGGGTTTCAAAGCCCCATTTCTCCCATCACTGCCCAAAAGAGCAACTGTCAAGCATCGCGAACAGAAATGCTTGGGAAGAAGATCTCAATCCCACAAAACATGGCTTTAAGCTTGCCTGGTGCGGAAGAGATTTAGAAGTGAAACAGCGGTCAGGAAACAAAATCTTGTGTTCCGACCCGCAGGGGAAATGCTGTTGGGCCCTTGAACATGTAACTCCACGAGTTTCCGTGGTGAACGTTTACCTGCCTGACAGCATGAAGAATGCAAGCCCTGCAAGTGACCCTGCAAGGCATCCGTCGCTTATAAATAAAGCATCGGGTACAAACTCCACATCGTAAACATGCATGAATACAGTCTGTACGATGACAGCCAGCGAGAGGAAGCTCACGGCTTCGTCCGCCAGCGTGTCCCCCTCGTCACGTTCCGGCGGTGACATTCCGGCTCACTCCTCAGCCCCTGACACGTCTCGGCGGGGCCCCCACACGCCCAGAGCCAGCGTAATTTACCTCGTGCCGCGGGCCGCTGGATGATTGAAGTGTAATTAGAATATTAAGACAGCGAAAGCGATTGGGGGTCCCCGGGCGGGTGAGGCTGAGAGACAGCGTCGGAAAGCGTGCCCTTCAGACGTGTTGGAGGAGACTGGGTGGAGGAGATGCGATGCAGACGCCGACGGGGCGAGGATGGGGGGGTCCCAGCTTAACCATCACTGCCATTTGGGTGATGGGAATAATGGGAAAGGGTGATGCTGGTAGAACAGAGGACTTTGCCTTGTCTTACCGATGCGGAGAAACGGACTGTTCTGACCCAGTTTTGACTGCTTCAAAGATCAAGTCTGCCATTCACAGGGGTGTCATAAAGGGGGGGTGGGAGTTAGGACGATTCCAAGGGAAGCTGAATGACAGCTGTTGGGGGCCCAATCTGAAAATCTCTTGCAGCGCCCCTGGCTGGTAGGAAACGGAGGAATATAGAAGGTAGAAAAGTTTGGAAATGAAACAGCAGTCAGGGTTGAGGGTATCTACAACAGACCCTGACGCTGGCAGTTGTAGACGGACAGCGATACGCAGCAAGTGAGCTGTTTGTCAGATTTTATCCGATTCTTCCCGAATTAAGCGGTAAGAACACGACGAGCAGCATCTCGGGAAATGCGGGGATTCGATGAGGATGAAGCGAGAGGCTTTTTAAAGCATTTTTGTGATCTGCTGCTTTGCCTGGAAAATCCCCGCTGCTGGACGTCCTGCAGATATTGCAGCAAAACAGAAAAGTAACAAAGAGCTGAAACGCTGAATGGATGTCATGGGGAAGGAAGGGGGTCACATGACCAGGTACGGAAGAGGCATTTATCAGCCGACCGCGGGGAGAAGGAGCATTCACACCGAGCGCATTATCATACAAATAAATGCTCTGTTCAGGAGAAATGCTCGTGTTCAGTCTTCATAATAGAGGCTGTGAATGTGACTGTAACTGGGCTGAATATTGTTAGGAAACACGAGTCATTTCTTTCACAATGGTGTTGAGATTATTACAGTGACAGATTTGGTAAATGGCTCTTTTACTTCATGAAAAAACAGGCGTCTAGGTGGAGACTGAGCCCGTCATGGGCGTCTGTTTCCAGCAGGATGGAGGCCAGGCAAAGCAGGCCCTCTCTCCTAAGGGGTCCGGGAAGCAGATGTGGAGGATCAGCAGCACACTCCGCCATACCCTTCCCTCGGCAGTGCGGCGTTTTTGTAAAGGCTGGCAGTTTTTTTGGGGAGTGCAGAGCAATCCCGGGAGAGCTGTCGTTGGAAAAAGGGACACCATGATCTGGATTCGGAAGTCTGTTGTTTAGATTGAGCGAGAGGCTCGCTTATGACGCTGCTGCGCTCTTCACCAAAACAGAAACCCTTTTATGATAATGGACGACTGCGGCTTTTGGAGGAACTGGGCACTGCAAACAGGACATGATCTGGGGGGGGGGGGGGGTGTTGCATGGTGTTGTCCAATGTACTCTGATGGCTCACTGACACACTGTATGCCGGAGCATCCTCTCTGGAGATTCATCCTCTCGACGTGTGTGTGTGTGCGTGTGTGTGTGTAGTGTGTGTGTGTGTGTGTGTGGGGTGCTGCGTTACAGTAGGTGCCCCTGAGCTGAGAGAGTGGTCATCATCACACTCCAGCACCGCAGGCGTCGTAATTATGGCGGTGGAGAAAAATAGCAGGGCTGAGGAATGAAGGACACCGAACCCGCCCACACGGCACCCCCCCAACCTCCCCCCCCCCCCATGGCTGCGCGTTGGAGGCCCTGCTTGATGGCGGTGAGGCGGAAATGCGTGCAGCTCAGTTACTCACAGCCTGAATGAGCCTGGAGCCCCCCCTCCCCCCCACACTCTCTCTATGCATCCATTTCATTAAGAAGTTTCCGGAGCCACACGTGATCGTCAGTGACGTCATATGGCAAAGCTCGGTGCGGGGGGAGCATATAATTTACTAGCCATATGGAGAAATGGCTATTTGCATCCATCCATTCACCCCCCCACTTATCATGCCCCCCCAAGCCACACACCACTCCCTTCGCAAATCTATGAACCATAAACAGTCCGTATTTACTGCTTACATGAACTTCACCGTGTCTTTATGAACATATATCTTATAAATGCTTCCACTCCAAAACAGCCTCTCATCTACTTTTAACAGAAGTGCTGACATCATCACCGTCATCAGCACCGTCTTCACCGGGGCGGCCTAAAGCCCCAGCGCCTGATTTTACTGCTCAGCAGGATTAGTGGGGATCCCTGTGGGTCCCTGTGGACCCGCCCTGCCCCGGAGGCCCTTACCTTGGCCATCTGCGCCTGCACGCCACTGGCCTTGAGCGACAACACGGCCTTCTGAGCTGCCGCTGGGCTGTCAAAGTCCACGAAGCCGTAGCCTGCAGACAGAGGGAGAGAGACGGACAGACGGTGAGAGCCCCCTTCCTACCGCAGCCGTCATTCACACGTAGTGATGGACATCGCTGGAAGAACCGTCTAACCAGTCCCAGTAAGAGCAGTTGCGGGCAGTGGATCAGTGTGAAGCCTGAACAACGAGGTTTATAAGTAATTAGTGCTCAAGGTGTCATAGGACTGCAGATAATTTGCACTGGTGGGGTGTTGTATGGGTACAAACACACACTCCATAAGTGACATGTTTGTCATTTTGGGAGCCCATTGGTCACAGTGTTGGTCTCATACAGTAGCTCACCTTCTGAAATCTGGCCACCGCCTGACAAACAGCGTGTTGTGTTATAGACATTGGGGCTTTGCCCCCCATCATGCCCCCTGACACTGTCCCCCAGCCCTGCCCACAATGGACACCGCAGAAGCAGCCTGGTGTGACAGACAGCCATCCATCCATCCATGATCCACACTAGCAGGCGGTGCGGAGCCTGGAGCCTCGCCCAGGAAGCACAGGCCTCAGAGCCGGGTGGCATCCTTACGTCTCTCCATGGATGGTGTGAGGAAAGCAGAGGACCCAGAGGAAAGCCGCACCACCGTAGGGAGCATAAAAATGGATCCACGGAGCCTGAGCCAGAGGCATCCGGGCTGGCTAATTACCAAATATTCCAACCCGATTTCAAATCTGTGCCCTGAGCGCTCTTAAGCGCTTGACCTCATTCCTGCCAGAGTCTCGCTCTCCTACGTGCACCCTCACATCCCCACCCTCGGAGGAATTAAGCATACCGGGGGTCATTGGGGGTAAACGGCGGCGGTATCGCTAGCGGAGGCCCCGAGGCCCGTTTCGCTAATGACCAGGCCGCTGCTTTCCACCGATCCCCTTCAGCCGCTGAGATAATGTGAATAGAAGGCGAGAACAATGTGAATGGCATGCAGACACACGGGAAGAGCATGTCGGAGAAGAAAGGGACGGGAAGGGGAGGAGCTGAAGCGGCTTTCCGCGGAGCGCCGGAGTGCGGAGCAGAGCGTAGCGCCAGCCGCCGGCTCCCGCCGCCATTTCCGACTTTAGTTCCTTCGCCACTTATCCGCTAAACAGATACGGCTTTGGCTTTGTTCGGGGTCTTATGGGAGGATTTACCTGGAAGATTCTGACATTACTATGGAAACGCGGCTGTCAGCACACAGAGGCACAGGCCGCCTCAAACTCCCTTTAACCATTTGAGGAACAATGTACTATTATAAACCATGCAAGCAGGATACCTCTTCAAGCTCTGGACTTTTCTTTAAGCACATCATTTATATTATTACATATAATAAATCTCTGCTTGCGTTTAGCACCAAACTACTCTATAAATGTTGCAAATTATAAGATTTCCGTAGGCCGGCCACGCCCGCAGTCTGTTTGTGCAGGCTATTACATCTGGTGTCTTTAATAATCCTATTTTACACCATGCTCAGCAATAACCTCGGTAATGAAGTGTGAAATTTGGGCACTTAGAGAGGGCCCAAAATGCTCCCAGACTGGTGGGGGCGTCCATCGTCTGTCGCTATCCCAGCATTCCTCTGGGATGAAGAGAGTTTTCTGTGCCCCACCCCTCAACCCTTTGTATGTTGTTTTTGTCACAGAACTCTTACACTGCTCACAGTACTTTTACATTGAATAGTGTGCTAACAGTTTAGCGGCAGCAAGTATAACAGATTGTTTTTTTGTCCATTAACATTATGTCCTCTTTATTATAAACGTTGCACACAGAAATCTGTTAGCTGCAGACTTTGAAAGCAATGAGGTCCACAGGTCGGCATGGTTCCGCCTCATCCTGTCACTCAGACACACAGGAGTGCCTGTACACAGAAACACAACGTATGACAATGAAAGCGCCACATCCACACTTTCCCACAGCCGGCGACTAAAAGCTTTTCTGACGCGGCTTGTTTTCCAGGGAAACGGAGACGTGCAGGTCCACTTTAATGGGAGTCTCACAGCTGTCATTGGTGTCTTTATAAGAATCAGAAAATAACCATCATGCTTCCTTCACGATCCAGCTGTCACATGTAACCCTGTGAGTGTCCATGTTCCTTACCAGGGGAAATACACCCCTCTAATACTATAGCATGTGACCTCAGTGACACAGGTTACGAAATATACACACAGAATGACTGTGTTGTGTTTCGCACCTTCGTAACCTCAGTCTGTGGCCTTTTCATTTAATCAGAGCACTAGCTGTCAGCTAGGGGGGGGCGGGGGGGGAATGAAGACAGGCATGAAGTCAGCAGGACTATGACTGAATGCTAAACCCAGGCCCAAGGGACTTGAATACACATCTTTGCTGGCATCAACAAGCCGTGCAAAATTAAAAAAACATTGAGAATGAACAGTCAATAGGTGGCACTACTCTGGCTATGCATAAACAATTGTAATTGATTAAGAGAAGGAGGCCTGGCAGGCTGTTTGATGAATAGGGTTGTTTACTTCATGTAGTCCTTTTCGCTCTGTGCTTTTTATGGGTCTTTAATGGGTTCGAAAACTGCACAGCATGTGGACCCTCACACTGACCGGCTCTCGGCATACAGCTCAGCCGCTAAACGCTCCAGAGCGGTTTTGTAAGCCTGCCCTTGTCACCAGCATGTCCATGAACAACCGAAAGAAGCAGAGCCTTGAAATGTATTTTAAACAGGGGCAGCAATGTCATCCAAGCTGCTGTTGGTGGTTTTATTTAAGCCCCACAGGATAAAGGAAAGCAGCTCTTTGGGTCCCCAGGCGGGTGGTAAATGTTTGCTTATTTTTGTATTGCGGAGAAAGACCGGAGATCTTACTATGCACCGACGAAGGAAAGGATCCAGAGGGCTTTTGCTGAGGTATTAAACAGCCAGGTGGCATTCTGGGAAGTACGGAGCCAGCCCAAGCCTGGTTTGGATCTCTTCCCTGTAGCAAGGGGGGTAGGGGGGTAATCTTCCCCCAGCCTTCACCCAGTGCCTACAAATGGGGATGTTTCACTTTATTAGCTATAAAATGAGACTCTTGGAAATGTTCTCATTGCCAAGGTGCACCTTCTCGCAGCAGGGAGTAATTCTTATGTTGAGGTGCCATCTCTAGGCTGGAGACCTCTGACCACGTTGCCACTGAAGTGGCCGTGGAATGGGGCCCGGCATGGGTCCCGGGGGCGACAGTGAACGATGCCTTTCAGAAGGTGGAAAACACTCCGTCTCACATTCTCAGCAGAATGTATCAGCCTGGGAAGGTGTCCTTGTCCTCGTGCGGCAGCCGTACCCCTGGGAGGGAAGCTGGACCCTCACTCTCAAGGAACTCTCACCATTCACAGCGGATCCTCAGCTCAACCCTGCCCACCTCTGCTTCCATCACAAAAGCAACAGCCACTCCTCCTCCACTTGTGTCGAAGGCCACGTAACGTTCAAGGTTAGAAACCCAAATCTGAGTCGTTGAATTTGTCCAACAAGCTTAAGTACCTTGCTTCTATACATGAAGGTCGACAGACTTAATCACATGATTAGTCTATTTGTCAGCAACTTCCTGCATGCGCCTGGTGTCCCGATTATCCCCCTTTGCCAAGAATAATAAATGCCTCAAAGATTTCTCTCCACCCTCACTTCCTGTCTTCTCCTGTTTTGACATCTTGTTTCAGCTTAGCTCAGCTGGTGGTCCCCTCCACCCCTCCACATGTGCTCCCGACGGCATTAACTTAGAGCAGAATAAGATCCTTAATAAAGATGTGGTGTTCCTTCACTCGCCCAGCCTCCGGAGGAAGACACCAAAGTTCCTGGAAGAATGCATGGTGACGGAAGCCAGCTGAACCTGAGGTGAAGACAGTCAGGCTGCTGGTGTCCCCTTGCTGCCCTCGTGTAGCTTCCGGCTTTGTAACAAAACTGACATTGGGGCTGTTTTCTTACCTCCACATAGTTACCACCTCTCTGACACTGTGGCAAAGTGCAATAAACACACAAATGCTCTGTTATTTAAATTACAACAGCCACCTGATTCAAAAGCCAATATGAAAATGCAATCCATTCAATCCTGATGCCGTCTGACAGCAGGAGCCAGTAAAATGCCAGGAATCCTGTTAAAGTTTGACATCTGATTGTCCCTAATCATCTTTGATGCACTTTAAAAATCACTTTTCAGAACAATATGTATACGACACATGAAAGGTTTCCTGTAAAGACTCAGGAAGAGGTCATTCAAATTCAAAGAGGGAAACCGATGGCTGAGTGTCCTCATCAAAGTGAAACTCACAACAGGGAGCAGTCTGGACTCTAAACTAAAGGGGAAAGGAACCTGGACTATAAACTGAGGGAGAAAAGAACCAGGAATACAAACCGGAGGGGAAAGGAACCTGGGGGTGTCTCACGAAGCAGGATTTCTCAGCTAGCTGGGTTAACTCAAGCTTGAGGTCATGATTGTCCAATAGGAATGCTCCTCTCCTAAACTCTTACTGGACGATCATTATTTCTAGCAAAAGTTAACCCAGCTAACAGAGAAATACTGCCTCATGGGACACCCCCCTTGACTATAAATCAAAGGGGAAAGGAACCTGGACTATAAACCAAAGGGGAAAGGAACCTGGACTATAAACCAAAGGGGAAAGGAACCTGTACTATAAACCAAAGGAGAAAGGAACCTTGTCTATAAACCAATGATTCTGCAGCACCTGATTGTGACACAAAAAGGCCTGTAATTATGTCCTCTGGATGAATAAAGTTTGACCCTCCAGTATGAGAGCTTAACCAAACCAGAGAAGAAGTTTTGCTTGGAGTTAAAGCCAAAAGAAACCCTCTGATACTGAGCCTCATATCCAGCAAGCATGGATGTAAGTGTGCGTGTTCCTGGAGCATCCAGGCAACATATGGCAGCTACTTCCTGTTTATGTCCAGTGGGTCCTCGGGCGTCATCCAGCGTAATCACAGTAATTAAACACAAAACAGGAGGATGACCCTGAGAAAAACAAAATTCAAAGGGAATGTTTTGAACAGTGATCAAAGA